GATCACTCCCGCTAAGGCCAAGAGCCTCTCCGAGATAGATTTATAGGTTCAAAATTCTTCTGGGAGGATAAAAACCCTGGCTTTTTCATCGGACCAAAGCAATTCATCTCATAGGCAACATACACATACAATCGCCAAAATTTCGAATAGATGGTGCATGCGGTGCGCATCCCAAAAGAGACAGGATGTGAAATCATATTTCAAAAATAGGGGCAAACAGTACACAATAGACATTTCCTTTTTCTGCCTTTGGTCTCAAAAATTCCAAAAGTTTCATTTACCTTGTACACACTCTGATCTTTACATGAGGCGATGCCCAGAATTTCAGTTTGAGAATTCCGTCGCCTTCCTGACACTGGAGAGGATCACTGACCAACATCGCTGAGTACATTGGAGGCAGTTTTTGCTGTGAGCCGGCAATAAGGAAATATCCATCTGAAAACCAGAATCTTATAAAGTTCTAGTACCGCCTAGTAAACGGGATTGGGAGACTTGCTGTAGGAACGATTTTGCGTAATCGATCCGCCGCACGCGGCTGTCGCGGACNTATGACTTATGGCATGTTTCTACTGTCAGTTCTTTTGTTCCTGAATTTCTTACTTGCTGCTACATTCTGCTACATTCCTTCGCGCGCGGCGTTTCTCTCACCGCGACGCGACAGTTTCGTTCCTACTGCACCACACCCAACGGGATTGACTCAGTTGTGAAAGTAACCCTATAAAAACGAAGAACAGGAGTCGATATGATGGCAGGTTACTAGTTTCAGAAGCTAAGTTCGAGGTTTCCTACTGGAACGAATCTGTGGCCATTTGGTATGCCTTATAGGAGTTTTCACGTTAGAGAACGGCCTGGATAACACACAATACAAGCTCAAAAACAGGTAGCGCCGGTGACCAATTCAAGGAACGGACGTGTTTGACAGCCTTGTAAATTCGGTTCACTGTAATCTCGTCCGAACACCCCCTTCATCTTACTGATCTCGTGCAACTCTTGTAATCGACTACTTTTTTTTGAGCTCTGCCACTTTTTTTTGTAGTCATACAAGTCAATTTTTTTTGTCTTGGTGTTAGATTTCTGTGAAAATCCAAGATCTTATCTTTCATCAATGTGAAGGTACTTACCCGCTCGATCAGATTTGCCGAAAATGGTCTCTCCTTCAGATTCACCCCATGATCCCTTCATTCGGATGTAGTCGAGTTCATCACCATCTGGGCAGCCGTTCTTTTCATTTCTCCACCTAAAAAGGAACTGAATTTCAAAATATTTTTTGCATGAGCGCTGAGGTTCTGCACTCTGCTGGTTGAGGGAGACGTCAGAATGGGTATCTCCAGAAACCTTCAAATTACCAAGTAAACA